ATATCTAATGCTCAGCCTTGCCAGGTTTCGCTATATTCCAACAAAAACATATCCTATGTATACCAAAGACATGTGGTAGGAATGTTCACAGCAGAACTAATCATAATAGTCACAAACGGGAAACCATCGAAATGCCCATCCCCAGCAGGATGGATGAGTAAATCACAGCATATTCACACAGAGATATTATACACCATGAGAATAAACAACCCATAGCCACACAACACAGGAGAATCTCACACATGATGGGAGCAAGAGATGCAGTCACAAAAGAGCTCTTACTGTATGATTCCACTTTTACACAGAATAAATACGGCAAAACTGTCCTATGCTGTTACAAGTCAGGGCAGTGGTTACACCAAGGGGGTGTGTAGTGATGGGAGGAGCACTGGGAGCCCTAGGGGGCTGTTAGTGTTCTGTTTCTTAATCTGGGTGCTGGTTACATGGTCTGTTAGGTTTAGGAAAATTCATAGAGCTATGCAATTATAATATGTACACTTTTCTATAGGTATATCATACTTCAATAAAAAGTTTAAAAAGGAAGGAAAAAGAGAAAACGAACCCAACCTAAAAGGAAACATGACGCAAGGAGCAGAAGGAAATTCATCCCAATCACTTCATGCAAGAGAACAACTTAATAAAAACATTAAGTTGGTAAAGTAAGAGTTAAAAGAAGAGTTTTTTTAATGAAATGAATTTTTTAAGAAATTTTTAAAAATTGAAAAAAAGGGAAAATTGTAACAGCAAGGAAAAAATTGGAGACCAAAACATCATTACTGAATGAACAAATAAGTTAGAAACAGACAAAAACAGTTTACTAAAATAAAAACTACCAACAAATAGGAAAGGCTTAAGATAACCACAGAAATTCAGAAGAGAAAGACAGAAAGATCAAAGCAATTAGAGAGAAGAGAATGGATATGGAAGACAGATAAAAACAGTTCAACATTAGGATAATCAGCCTAGTAGGCTGAATAATGGCCCACCAAACATATCCACGTCCTAATCCCCAGAATTTGTGAATACGTTAGGTTACAGGGCAAAGTGGAATTAAGGTTGCAGATGGAATTAAGTGTGCTAATCAGGTGACCTTAAAATACAGAGATTATCCTGGATTATCAAGATGAGCCCAATGAGATGACAAGGATTCTTAAAAGCGGAAGAGGGAGGGGCCGGCCCAGTGGCATAGTGGTTAAGTTTGTGCACTCCGCTTCAGTGGCCAGGGTTTGCAGGTTTGGATCCCAGGAGTGGACTGACGCACCGCTTGTCAAGCCATGCTGTGGCGGCATCCCATATAAAGTAGAGGAACATGGGCATAGATGTTAGCCCAGGGCCAACCTTCCTCAGCAAAAAGGAAGGAAAAAGAGAAAACGAACCCAAGCCCTGAGCTAATCTTCCTCACACACACACACACAAAAAGTGGAAGAGGGAGGCAGAGAGTCAGTATCAGATTGATGCAAAGAGAGAAAGACTTGACCCACCATGGCTGGCTTTGAAGATGGAGGAAGGGGCCATGAGCCAAGGAATGCAGGCAGGTTGTAGAAGCTGGGAAAGGCTAGCAAGCAGACGCACCCCCAGCACCTCTAGAAAGGAAAGCAGCCCTGCGGACACCTTGATTTTAGCCTGTGAGACTGCGTTGACTTCTGACCCCCAGAACTGTAAAATAATAAAATTTTTGTTTTATTAAACAAAAATATTGGTGAGTGTTTATTATTTAAAACAAATTTTTGTTGTTTTAAGCCACTAAATTTGTGGCAATTTGCCCAGTAGCAATAGAAGACTAATACAATTTGTGTCCCTGAAGTAGAAACACCAACAAATGTAACAGAAGATGTTTTAAGGACATAAAGTAAATTTCCCTGAAATTAAAAAAGAAATATCCAAATTCAAAGAGTACACAGTGTACCAAAAGTTCAAATGGAAGCATTCAACTCTGAGACAAGGTCTGGCTGGCTAATGAACTGAGGCAAAAGGAAGGAATTCTTCAGAAATTCAGGAAGAAAAGACAAATCACCCATACGAGGGAAAAAAAATCAGCTGACCTCAGGCTTCACCACAGCGAAGGCGGTAGTGAACGATAGTTACAAAGTGTTGAGGGAGGGCCAGCCCTGATGGTCTAGTGGTTAAAGATTGTCACTCACTGCTTCAGCAGCCTGGGTTTGGTTCCTGGTTGTGGAACCACACCACCTGTCAGTTGCCATGCTGTGGCGGTGGCTCACATGGAAGAACTAGACGGACCTACAGCTAGAGTATACAACCATGCAATGGGGCTTTGGGGAGAAAAAAAAAACCAAAAAATAAAGTGTTGAGGGAAAGAAAATATAATCTAAGAATATTATACCCAGCCAAGATACCGTTCAAAAATAAAGACAATGAGCAGACATTGTCACACATGAAAATGCTCAGGAAATACTCATGCCCTTCTTGAAAAAAGGACTGAAAATGAAATCTTGCTAATTAGAGGGACAGCAAAATAAAGAACTCAGACACAGCAATGGAAAAGGACCCATGGTGAGCCCTAAGTCCACTTAAATGTTGAATTAATACTGAGCACTTGTAGGCACTGTAGCTACAATAGAAGTGCATGTTATAAACCTGGGCAATATAAAAATAACACAAGCTCAAAACTCAGGTGGTGAGTGGAGGGGAATGGAAATGTGAAGCTGAAAATGCCCTCACCTTTCAATTCCAGAAGCATGGATACTGTTTCAAAGTTAAATGTGTCTTTTTAAAAAAAAATAATAAGATAATGATTCCAACTTCTTACAGTTTTTCATAATCTCTTTTCCTAATCCTAGAAGAATCTTTTAGTAAACCAAAAACCCCTAAGGGGCACATCTATGATATCAGTTCTCTTCTACAGTGTCTCAAGCCAAGTTGACAACAAAACCTTTTGTGGAAAGTGTCTTTTTAGCTTAAATCCTCCCTCTGTTAAGTATAAAACTTTAGGGCCGGCCCTGTGGCTTGGTGGTTAAGTGCGCGCGCTGCGATGCTGGTGGCCCGGGTTCGGATCCCGGGAGCGCATCGAGGCACCACTTCTCCGTTCATCCTGAGGCCGAGTCCCGCATACAGCAACTAGAAGGATGTGCAGCTACGACATACAACTATCCACTGGGGCTTTGGGGGGAAAAAATAAAATAAATAAAATCTTTAAAAAAAAAAAGTATAAAACTTTAGAAGAAAGCATTAACTAGTTGTTTTTAGAAAGCAGTTCATATGCTTTCTAAAAGCATATGCTCAGTTCAGCATATAACAAGATGAAAGTAATGCAACAGAAGCATACCCAAGCCTTTGTTCAAATCAACCACAAAGAAGTTTTACATTTTGTCTACATTCCTCCTGTCTTCCCCAAATCACTCACCTGCTATAGAACTCAAAACATTCCATAGCCTGTTCCCCCAAACACAGAGTTTTAAAAGCACCATGCTTAAAAAAATCACCTTGCTTTATTTGTCGAATGTTTGATTACCTCCGCTCTGCTGCAGCCCATCCATTCACTGAGCCCTGAGGACCCAGCTGTGGAGGAACAAAGGCCCCCTGCTCTCCCAGAGCTTAAACACCAGAGCTGCGCTGTCCAGCAGAACTCTGCCGCATCTGTGCGGTCCAATAGGGCAGTCACTGGCCACATGCGGCTGCTGAGCACTTGAAATGTGGCTAACAGGAACTTTTAATTTTATTTCATTTTAACTACTTCAAATTTAAAAAGCCATATGTGGGTAATGGTGTCATCTTAGACAACACAGCTCTAGAATCCGAATCTGCATTTTCTGAAGACCCCCAAGCGACACTTATATACATTACAGTTGGAGGATGAGTCCGAGTCCTTATCATCAGCTCATGCCCATCGTCTCAAACTCTCCCCAACTCTCTCCCCACTTCCACTGTCTTCTCAGTCCTACCCTGCCTGGGCAAAGCAGGGAGCACACCTAGGCTGCCTTGAACATCAAGACTCCACTCCCTGGGCTGCCCTCCTCTGCTCCCCGGGGACCCAGACTCCAAGCCCAGGAGACAGAGAGGCCAGAGTCAGAACCGCAGGGTCTGCGTTGGAAATGTGGTTCATGCCTCTGAGACGACAGGACACAGGTTCCCTTCCACAGTCATTCAATGTGCACCATCAAAGCAGCCTGTGGTGGGTAAAGACAGGTATAGGGGTGCGTGTGTGTGTGCCAGACACCCACCTGAGTCTCCTCCAGCCTGCTGACCCGGGTTTCTGCCCACGGCACTTTTCTCTCCTCTCCCCCTGCCCTTCTTTCCCTCGTAGGGTCCCCCCTCTCGGGGGCTGCGGCTCTCAAACCTCAAACTACAGGGACACCCCCACCCCCACCCCACTGCCCGCTGCCCCCGAGCTCTGGACGCTCTGGCCTCCCCTCGACCTGGAAGCCACTCTCCTGCACCTGCCGTAGGTGTTTCCCTGCCTCCGCCCCAGGACGCACCCTCGAGGGTCACCTGGGTTCCAGCCCTGCTAGGCCTGTCCACCGGGGCGAGGAACCGCTCGGACACGCCAGGAACCCTGGAGAAGCCTCCGGACTAGTCCTCTTGCGTCTTCTCTCCCCCTCTTCCATCCGACCCACGCGAAGAACTACCACCCCGGCGCCTGCGCCCGCTCTGCACCCCCCATGCGTCCAGTCCTCCCTGCGGAGTCACCGGAACCGCCCCGCGACCCCGCCCCCCAACACACCCCACGCTCTCCTCTGCCTCGCAGTCACCCCAAGGTGGGAGGACCTCGGCGCCCTGCCCAGCCGCTCGCTCCCGCCGGCGCGCAGACCACGGCGAGGGGAGGGAGACGCGCGCGTGCGCCCGCCC